AACAACAGCACTCTGCTGTAAATGTAAGCGTGATTATTTGTATTATAGCAGAGTTCACCTGTATTTATAGCTCATTGCATTGGTTTTACAGTGTAAATATCTTTAATTAAACATTAAAAAAAGACAAATAAATATGAAATACAAAAGTTTCCATCAGATTTTCTACAAATTCTTCTTCCACAGTTATCCTTCATTAACCTTAATTATCTTTATTTATCCGTCCTTGTGTTGGAACTTTACAGGATGAAAACCTGAACAGAACTGTGTTACTGCACTGTGGAAGGGGAGAACAGGCTTGTGTGAGTCATTTGGATGCAATGCGGTTAATAAACTGCTTCTTTACTCGACTTTCCCAAGCTTATGTGGTCCAATTTGCAAATATTCACCTTATCAGCGGTCCAGCAGTGACCCTGCAGATGCTTTAGAGTAAACTGTGGTCAGTTGAACTCCAGACAGACTGTATTTTTTCAGGATGGAAGATTTGGCAACTGAGCCTCGTTTCAAAACAAACAACAAAATAAACAGCAAACAACTGGCTCATAGCATAAAGTTATCTATATGGTTTGTAGCATAATATTAGCTCTTGTAGCATAATGTAAGCTCTTGAGAGTGGCGGTTCTGGCCTCCACGTCGTCCATTAAACCATTAATGGAAACCTGGGCTAACTTAGAGCCCAAGTGGACGTGGTATTGGGTGGTCTTGAAGTGGTCTGAATTGTGTCTGCTTTATATTTGTATTTAAATGCCAAATGCGGTGAGAGGAGGAACAACCGTTTCTCCCATTCTGCTACTTATTAATCATCAGAGTGTTTCTCAGTTGTGTTACTCACCGTGCAACCATTTCTCCTCAACTCACATCTACAAACAAAAGTTTAACCTCTGAGTGATTGATGGGGCTTTCATTTACTGCAGGGCTTTAAACGAGGATCCTGATCCAAAGGCTGAGGAGGAACACTGAAACAGAGTGAGTCCACTTCCCTCGAGCCATAAGAGGAGGAGGAGGAGGAGGAGGAGGAGGAATGGGAGGAGTGAGAAAGTGAAAACAGAAGAGCAAGAGAGGGGAAAGTAACAGAAGGGGAGAGAGAGGCTGAGGGAAGCTCTCTGGTCAAAGTCTGACACCAGACTCCTGCTGTAAAACCACATGGAACTGAACCGCAACAGCTCCTGCACACATCGGCAGCCAGTGGCGGGAAACGTCCTGTTTCTCCTCCTTCTTCCACACTTTGGACATTTACCAGTTTTCCTTAAGCTAAAGTTTAACAGTAAGTGAACCGAAGAGCAAATGTGCTCGTGGAAACACTGAGATAAAGCTGTTGTTTCTTTAATGTAGTTTGGTTTGGGGATGTTTTTTTAGATTTCAGCTGTTGGTGCAGTGGATCATCTGACTGAAGGATTTACTGAAGGAAATACATCAAGATGTAAATTCTGATGTGAGCAACCCCTTTTACACCCTTTTTGGAGCCCCTTTCAAGCAATCACTAAACCATTAGAAGCTGGTGCCTTGCTCAAGGGCACCTCAGCAGTCGCCGGAGGCTGCAGACGCACTACGCAAACCAGCTGGTCTGGGATTCAAACTGACTTCTTGCAGGATTACAGGAACATCTGTGCTCAGAGGAACTTCTAACATGGACTTATTGTGACGGAGCCTAAAACCTCGAGGCAGTTCACCTCCCTGAAGATGTAGTAGTCCAGAGTGGGAGGGCAGAGGATATAATGTGACGCAGATGATGGTTTTGCTGCCCGTGCGATGCCAAGAGGGAGGCTAGCTCTCGTGAGTGTGTGTCTGTGTCTCGTCTGTCTGATCGTTCTGATGCCGCAGGCGGCCGCCCGATTCTGCACTCGTGACAGCATCCAGAAGATTGAGCACCTCATCGGCAAAGCCCCCGAAATGGTATGAGTTTAATCTTCTGTCACTGTAAAAAAAAAAAAAACTGTAATAATCCAGCACCAGAAAAATACAGTAAAACAAAAAATAACAGTAAAAATACAAGAATGTTCAATCAACAATGATTTAATATTTTTTGTCTTTTTAATGTTTAATTAAAGATATTT